CGGTATCCCGCAGCAATCATCTCGCGCATAGCAAGTACATTGGCAATTCCATCTTCATCATAATAGACTGGAGGCGGAAATCTTCCTAGAAACCCTTCTTCATTGAGAACTCTGCTGCCCACGTTAGTGTGCATATCGAGCTCTTTCTCAGGGTGACGTAGTCCATGCATGAGTTCACCATTACAAATGGTGGTGTTGGTGCAACCACTGTCCATGATGACGTGGTCGAGCAAACCAAACGGATCTCTTTCGATTCTGCGGCTTTGAATAAACTGCATACCTCAATCTGCTTCAGTAGCAAGATCAGGCAAGTCTTCACTTTTACTAGCGTAGTGCCAGTCGGATTGAAGTTCAACGTTAGTCGTTCCAGCAGGACATGGAATAAGATAGACATCATTGCCATTCTCATCCTTTCCCTTGATAGCATCGTGAAAGACATTTGACGTATCAAAATAGCCAGTCTTCACAACTTGCGGAGTGCGAGCTTGAGTTGCATCAAATCCTTGGCGCACTTGAGCACCACTGAAGCCTTGTTGGCTGAGTTGCATTCCACTGAACGCAATCTCACCGTTAGCATTCATAGAGTAAGGGACAGTAACAGTGCCACCACCTTGAGTTGGAATCTGCATGAGCTGCATTCCAGAAGGAACTTGCATCATTTGAGTACCTGTAGTACCAGCAAGTTGCAAAGGTGTGTTAACACTTCACGCAACACTCGATGTTCCACCAGTGATCACACTTGTCGCTGGAGAAGTTCCAGGAACTGTAGCTGTAGCTGGGACAGTTGCTCCAATCTGATTGAGATTGAGCTTCTTCCCGTAATCAACATAGTGTTTCGGATGCTTCCGTTGAATTTCTGGTAGCAGTCTGTCTGGGCATTTTGGAGACATATGGTCCTCTTTGCCACATACATAACATGCTGCCTTTTTCTTATCGTCCTTTGCTTTACCTTTACCTTTACCTTTATTTGGCTGGTCTTTTCCTTGGTACAGGTTCACTCCCGGATTCTTGATCACATCCATGTGAATCTTCAACATATCCTGTGCTTTGCTGACCGTCTTTGGATAATAATCCACTTCTCTGCAGTAGTTCGTCTGAAGATCCAGCATCAAATGAGCTGTTCTTGTTCGATCACAGTTGCACAGGAATCCTGTTGCAAGAACGGCTTCAAAGATATCATCCTTGAACTTGTCTCTAGCAGTAGTATCGGTGCTAGCAATAGCAGAATACGCTTTCGTCTTGACTGCAAAATTTCGGAACCAGGCAACGCCATATAGATCTTGCAGGACTTCAGCCTGTCTCAAGAATCGTTCCTTGAAATGCATCAAGTTTTCTGTTGTTCCCTGCTTCATAGCAAAGAACTTTTGATTGGCTTCCCAGAAATCCAAGAAGTCATACTCAGCATCGGCACTCTTCTTCATGAATCGTTCAATACGCTTCAAGAGTTTGATTGGATCTTCAAGAGTAGTCATGAAATCGGCTTCACCTCGAAGCTTGATATCCATCGCTTTCGTCACTTCGTGCTTCTGCTTTGTTGATGACACCGATGTCATGGAGTCCAACGACAACGTGGAGACGACTGGCGAAGACCTCCTCCCTTCGGTACAGTCGGCTTTGGACCTTTGGTCGGGTGGCATCAGTGCCACTGGTGGAGCTATCAACCCGGCGAAGTCCTTCTGGTGGCTGATTGATTTCAAATGGCGGCCGTCC